TTTTTTAAAAAAATTTAAAAAAAAAAAAAAAAAAAAAAAAAAAGAAAGCATATATATATAATATATATATATATATTTTAGAACAATTCAGTGTTGCACACAAAGAAAAGACAATTATAAAAAAAAAAAATATACTTTTTCTAATTTTTATTAATAAAAAAAAAAAAATTAAACTTATTATTTAAAATAAAATTTTATTATATAAATATATATGTGTATGTATTTATATATCTTTTTTCCCCTTTTCCTTATTAAATTAAAAAAAAATGTATTTCTTATTTTTTTAAGAGAAGAAAAATAATTAACTTATATAAGTAATATTTTTTTAATATTCTATCTTTCACTTTGTTTTTTTGTTTTTTTTTTTTTTTTTATGTAATTTTAGCTTAATTTCTTGTTTTATTTTAATAAGAATATTAATATTTCTTTGATTTTTTTTTTTTTTGTAGCCTTTCATAAAATTGAATAATTAAAATTAGAGATTTCTACTTACAATATAAATAAGAATTTTTATTATTATTATCATCCTTTTTGTGAATAAAAGGATTCCTATAATTTTTTTATTAAATTAATATATTTTATCTATACTATTCTTTCCTTTTCATTTTTTTTTTTCTTTCTAATTTTTTGAAACAACATTATGTATGTTTAAAAGAAAAGAAAATAACACACAAAAAAAATATAAAAAATTTAAGAAATGTGTGTTTATTTTATTATACAAAAAAAAAGAAATAAAAGATAAAAATAAATAATAAAAATGATTTATAAAAAATTAAAAGAGTATGTTCATTCAACATTTTTTCAAACTTTAGATCCTTTTTTTGAAAATGTGCAATATGAAGTTTCTTCTCAAAATAATATTCTTAAATATAAAAACTTAAAATTAAAAAAAAATATATTTAAGCATTATGGATTCAATATAAGTGAAGGTTATATTGAGGAACTTCAGATAAAAATACCATACTTTTATAAAATGGATGGTATAGAAATAAATATAAGTAACATAATTATTTTAGTTATCCCTGTAAACTTAGAAAAAAGTGATAGATTTCGAATTTATGAAGAAGCATTAAATGATAGAAAAAAAATATTAGAAAGTGTGTATGAAGAGTTTACAAAAATACATATAAATAATAATATAAATAACAAACAGTTAACCACTTTGCTTATGAATAATATACAATCATGGGTACTTACAAAATTAAAAGTTAAAATTAATAATATTCATTTAAGATATGAAGATGATAATGTTGATCAAATGTATAGCTTCGGGATTATTATACCCTCTGTTACATATGATAATGAAGAAGGTGATACAACAATATTTAAAAAAAATAATTATAATGGTAAAATAAATCAAAATGATAATAAAGTAGAAAATTTTGATAAAAATAAAATATTTCAATTTTCTTTAGGTATTTATTATAATGATAAATGTAAGTTATTTTTAAAAAATGAAAGTAATAAAATTCCTCTATTATTATGTATAAAAGAAATATGTTATTTATATAATATAAAATATGAAGAAATGGAAGAAAATATAATTAATAAATATGTTATTAATTTAGATAAAAATCCTCCATTATTTAAAAAACAGAAAATTCATAGTAAAAAATTAGAAAATTTAAGATTTAATACACCTGAGACAAAAAAAATGAAAAAATCTAAAAAATCTAAAAAGATAAAAGTAGAATTTGATTTTAATTTTATATTAAAACCACAGATTTTTAAAATTATTGTCCTCAATAATAATGATTTATTTAACAATAGAACAGAAATAAAATTTAATATTCCACATCTTTATTTTAATATAAATAGTCAATTTTTATTTAGTATTTTGAATATTTATAAGCACGTAAAAATGTCTTCTAAATATAAACAAAACGTAGTCTATAATCAGGCTATAATGAAAGAAGAAAAAAAAAAACTCAAAATGGAGAATACAAAAGAAAGGAATAAAAATTTCCTTTTTTTAAATAATATAAAAAAAAATTTGAAAAGTAACTATATAAATTCAAATAGCTACTATAATATAATCCATGATATGCAAAATAAAGTAGAAAAATCACATTTAAAAAAAAGCTTCTTAAAAAAGATAAGAAAAAATGACTTTAGTAATTATAATTATTTTAAAAAAAGTGATTATAATTTGGAAAAAACTAGCTATAATTACTCATATTTAAATAAAGAATATTTTAATAAAAAATGTTTTAAAAAAAATAATAGCTGTAATATAGATCTTTTAAAAATATCCAATGAAAACGTCTATTTTTCAGATGGAAAACATTCCAAAAATTTGTCTCCTTTGATTGATGATAAAGAACAGTTAATTAAAATAAATCCTCATCATTCAAATGAGAACAAATATGAGAGTCATTTTCATGATTTAAAAAATAACATTTATGGAAATGATAATTGCATTCATGAAGACGAAAACATTAATGATAACAAAAAAAAAAATATAGAAGGAATAAATAGAAAAAATTTTAAATGGTTTAGCTTTCAAAAAGATAAATTAAAAGCTAAAATAAGTAATTTTCTTAAAAATAACGTAATAAAAGATTACATAAATATATTTAAAAGAAAAGAAGAAACCAACTCAAATAATTTTAATTCTTCCTCTTCTAATTCTCTAAATAACTCTAATTTTTCAAATGTAAATTTTAATACGAAGGAAGGGAAGCATAAAGGTGGTGAAGAATATTTATTAATTAAAAAATCAGAAAAAGAGTTAATTAAAAAAGATAAAGACGACATATTTGATTATATAAAATATCAGAGGCATTCAAAAAATAAAATAAATAATGTGAATGAATTAAATTTAAATAATTCTTTAAAATTAATATGTAAAAGTGAAAAAAATAAAAAAAAAAATAAAAAAAAAAATAAAAAAAAATACAGAAATTTATGGTTATGTGCATATAGAAGCGTGCGAAAAATAATAGATTTAAAAAATATAAAAAAAAATATATTTAATAAAAATGTATTAAGCTTATTAAAAAAGTACAATGATTTTATATATTTTTATAAACTATTTATTTTTTATAAATATATAAAATATAATATTCCTAAAAGAATAAATAAAAAAATAAACGAAATTCAAGCTGATTTAACAATATCTAATGAATTAATAATATTATGGAAAACAAATTTATTTTTAAATGTATACAGTTTAGATAAAACATTTCATAGAAAGGATTTTTTTTTTATTTATAGCTTATTTATAAAAAGTATAAGAAATATTAGAAATAATTTAAGCAATAAAAATAAGTATATAGATAAAATTAAAAATACATTTTCTGGTTATAAAGAAAATGTTTTTAATTTATACAATTATGACGTAAAAAATGTAAATTATAAACAAGATGAATTTGAAGAAAATGGGAGTAGTAATATAGAAAAAACTTACATGAACTTGAACAAAAAATGTGAAAAAAATATAGAATATTTCACTGTTAGAATTAATATAGAAAAAATAGAAATTTTTTTTAATTTAAAATATTCATCACAAAATTCCATTGTTTATTATAAAAAGGATCATATTGTTTTAAACAAAAACAACTTTTATAAAATTTATGAATCAAATAAGAATATAAAAAGCCTAGAAAAAAATTACAAAATAACGCAAAATGTAATATATTGTGATAAAAAAGATATATATAGAAATAGAATAAAAGATGAAAAAAAATATAAAAAGTGGATTAACAATGAAAGTTTTCTAGAGGAAAAAAGTTTCTCATTTAGTGATTCATTTCAGAAAAAGAAAAAGTATAATTCTTTCTCTCGAAGTTCATCTTATAAATCAAATAAAAGTAAAAATATTAATAAACTAAGAAAAATTTATTTAGAAAGTGAGTGTAATGAGAATATAAATAGTGAAAGAATAATTAATAAAAAAGGAAAAAAAAAAAATAAAATAAATAATATGAATGAGAATAAAAACAAAAAAAAGCAAAAAATAAAAAATTTTAATAAGCCTTTATATACAAATATGAACAACAAATTAATTTTTTCATTTTATGGAATTCATATAGATATAGAGAAAAATATAAAAAATGAAGGAAATTTTGTCTTTTTTTCGAAAGTAAAAAATATATACATTGGAGAATATTTTAAATGTATATATAAAAATTTTTATTTAACTCCCATCTTATATTATAAAATAATAAAAGAAAAAAAAAAAATATATTTTAAAAATTCTAAGAGAACAATTTCAAATCATTCATATAAATGCAACTTAATTTACGTTAAAAATAAATGTTCCAATATAAAATTTCTCACTTATGATAATTCCGAAATTTTTTCAAGCCATACAAATTCATTGAATATAGGTTGTGATAAAAATTTTAAAAGTAAAAGTATCTCAAAAAAATATAAAAGTGATTCTTATCACTCAAATAAATTTATAAAATTTGGACAAGGAGACCATCAAATATCATCAAAATTAAGTGATAGATTTTTAATTAAAAGAAATTTTAAACTAATAAAAAATCAGAAAATAGATAATCACAGCAATCATAGTGATTCAAATAAAAAAACAGTTTCATCTATGTTTCAAAATAAAGATATATTTTTAAAAAAAAAATACGAATATGATTATAATGTTGAAAGTGATAGTATTTGTGATTCAAAAATATATTTAAAATCATATTACAACGAAAATTCTAGTTATGAAAACACTAAAGATAGTAATATAAAGGATAAAATTTCTTATAATGTAAATGACAAAAATATACAAACAATTTTCAAAAAAAAATGTTACAATTTAAATTCCATGGGTAAAAAAAGTATGAATATTAGTAATTACATAAAATCAAATAATGAAGGTAGAAATAATTACCAAAAGGAAATACTTGAAAATAAAAATCAACAAAATAATGATGAGAAAAAATGTAACAATCTGAAAAATTTAATTGAAAATAATACATCAATAAATAAACATGTAGAGTACCTTATTAAGCAAAAATACTATGATAAAAATTCGGAATTTTTAAGACAAAAAAGAAAAATAAGAAAGAATAAACAACTCTATGATACAAAAAAATTTAAAAATATCAATGAGATAACAGATTATTTTTTATCTTTTCAAATAAAAAATGGCACTATTTTAATTGATATAAACTTTCCTACTATAACTATTTGCTCTGATAATTATACTTTTATAAGTAACTTTTTAGAATTATATGAACATAATTTTAAGTTACATTCCAACAACAAATTTTCTTATGTGGAAAACTTTTACACAACTTTTGAAGTAAATTATGAATTATATAAAAGTTCTTGTAAAATTCTTGAAAATATAAACTCACATGTTGATTTATTTGATTATTTTAATGAAAATCATAGAGATGAAAATTGTAATTACTTTTATTACTCCGAATTATCAAATAATGAAGATATAAAAAAAACATATAAACATCCTTCTTATAGTGATTTTGGATATAAATTATCTAAAGAAAGAAAAAAAAAATTTAAAATAAATATTTATAATTTAAAAATTATTATTTTATCATTTCCATACCAAAGCATGTATAATAAAATTCAAGAATATATATATATTCAAAATTTAACAAAAAATGAACGGCTGCTATATTTAATTAGAAATACCATTAAAAGCAAAAATCTTTATCTAAATAAACCTTCTCTTATTTTATACATTAATAAGATAACTGTAAACTCTTCGTTAGATAAGGCTAATAGGTATATTAAAATTGATATAATAAGGATTTTAGCTATGCTATTTAATAAATACAAAAATTTCATAAATGTTTTTAATTTATATCATCAAAAAAATTATATTGATTTACATCAAAAAATGCATAGATTTAATCTAAATAAATCTAATTCAAATAATTCTTTTGTTTGTAAAAAAAAAATATCAAATGTACACCAAACTAATGATACTTTACCATTTACTAAAGAAAGTAATAGTAAAAAAAAAGAAGAAATGAAAAATAATATTCAATATAATAGATTTAGAAAAAATTCAGATAGTTTTACAAAGAATGATAAATTGTCAAAAAAAAGTTTTACCGAAAATATGGATATAAGTAAGATTATCATTTCTGATGAGAATAAAAATTCTTATAATAATTTTAATTACAAAAGTAATTATTTCCGTACAAGTAGGTGTAATAGTTATCATAAGGAGCTTACAAAAAATAACTACTTTCAAAAAAAAGAAAATATTTTGTCTGATGTTAATTATAACAGCTTTTCAGTTAATGAAATAGAAAATAAGAAGAGAAATTCATACAATTACACAAATAAAAATTACAAAGAAAAGTATATTCTTTTAGACAATTTAAATTATGATTCTTGTTCTCATATATATAGTAGCATTTATGATTTAAAAAATGATGTCAGAAAAACAAGGAAAAGTAAAGAAAAGTTTTCCGTAGTAAAACAAAAAAAAGATTTTTCCAGTTTTACAACATTAAATATTAGAAATGAAAGTAAAGAAAAAAGCAGATTTTTCTTTAAGTACTTAAAAGATAAAAAATTGAAGTCATATCTGGATTATTCATATGATAGAAATATGAATTATTTTTTTTTTTTGTTTCAAAAAAAATCTTTTAAAAATATTCTCTTTTATTTTAATGTAGAAATAAACTATAAAAATTTTACTGGTCATAATAATAGAGGTGATTTAATAGAGAAGGTTATAGAAATATATTTAAAAAGTGGGAAAAATGCTTTCATAAATGGTAGTGTAAAAAATTTAAAAAAATTATTTTATATATATAATAAAATGAAATACTTTATAACACTGTATGATATATTTAAAAAATATATTTATGTAATAAATTACGATATAAGTTTTCCATGCATTAATAATAATTTTATCTGTTTTGACTATTTAAATATTTTTGGTATAAGGAAGCTAAATACTCTTTGTAAATATAATCTCAATAAAAAATTCTTTAATGGAGGAAAAAAAGAAGAAAAAATCAATAATGTATATCAAGATAATTTAGGGAATGAAAATAAAATGAAAAATGAGAATAACATTGAAAAAGAAAGCATGAAAAAGAGTACTAATAATAATGAAAGTAAGGATTGTAATGAATGTAAAAGTACTAATGTATATGAAAAGAAAAATAAACACAAAAAATTAAAATATGTTTCAAATAAATCACTTATAATGTCATCGGAAAATTGGCCATATGTATTTTTGAGGAGTTATTATTATTTAAAAATTAATGATTCACATTCAAAAAGAAATATAATTTTATTAAACAAAAAAAAATATTTATATAAAAAGAAACATTTTTCATGTAATAATTTAAACTATAAAGGAGGTGATAAAAAATATTTCGTTTTATCTAAAAGGAAGAAAAATTCACAAAACCACATTTTTAGGAGAAGTATAGAACATACATCTAGTTTTACTTATTCAATAAATCAAAGAGGAAAAAAAATTTCAGAAAATTCTATAAGTAACTTTAAAATATATAGTTCAACAAATACATATGTACCTACTGAAAAAAACTATTTTAAAGAGAAAAGTTTGTATAACAGAAAAAGTTTCTCTTCAACTAGTGATGCATACAATGTACATTCCTTTAGTAATTTAAATGATAAAGAAAAAAAGAAACTTTACAATTTGTCATCGCATTCTTTTACAAATTCTGTTATGTCTCAATGTACAATTTCACATAATTCTTCATTTTTAAAAGAAGAATACAATATGAATTGGAAAACATCAAAGACTAAAAAAAAAAGAAAGGAACATAATGATAGTTTAATAAATAAACAAACTAAAGATAATGTAAATAATAAAGATTTATTCTTATGTGTATTTATGGAATTACGAAGTAATAAGAAACTCAAATATGATAAACATTTTGTAATAAAAGAAAAAAAAAAAAATAAAAATAACAAAAAAATAATTTTTTTTACACCTATATTATTATATATATATATGGATAAAAAAAGCATAACTCCTTCTTTTATTTTCAATTGCAAATCAGTTCAATTTGTATGTCAAAACAATAAACAACTACGAAATGTGAAATTTAAATTAAATTTAAATAAAAAACTCAATTTATTTAAATTTATTAAACTGAAAAACAGAATAATTTACCTTCATAAATCCGAAAACATCAATAAGAAGAATATTAAATTGAATGATATTTACAATATATGTGTTAATAGACATAAAAAAAGAAGAGTTAAGAGTGATAAAATAAATGATGATAAATATAAAAACAGAAAGAAAATTAAAATTTACTTAAAATCAAATAATTTTCCCATTCATAAATTAAATAACAATGATTTTTTTCTTTATATCCTAATTACTTATGAGAATTTTTCAAATAGTAAAATATTTTATAACTTAAATAAAATTAAGAAAACATTAATACATATTAACAATCCATATAATGACAAATGTTATTTTAATTTTACTAAAAATGAAGAAAATTATTTAAAAATTCTTTACAAAAATTCTGATAAAAAAAAATTTCCCTTACTATTCAGGTCTTCTGAAGAAACAAAAATATATAAGAATTTTATAGAAAAAAAAAAAAAAATATTCCATAAAAATAAAATGAAAAATGAAAATAATTCACATTGTATTAGAAATAATAGTAGTAAAAAATACAAGAAAAAAACGAAAAAAATTTATCTATCATTAAAATGCAATGTTATGGAAAAGATAACATATTCTAACTTCTTATTAAAAAAAAAAAAAGGACAAAGTAAAATAAAAAATATAAAATATAAATCTTCATTGAATAGTAAGAAAAAAAGTAACTTTATGAACAAAGCAAGGAATTTTAAGAAGAAAAAAAGAAAAAAAGTATATTCTATTTTATATGATCAGGAAGAAATTAAAAAAAGGAAAAGCAAAGATAAAGTAAGTAGTTTTGATATACTAGAAATTTTAAAAGTATATAAAAATATATCTTTAAAGTTATATGTTGATAAGTTAAGTATAATAATTGATAATTCATTTAATTTTACTTTATATGGTTGTGGTATATATTTTGAAAATAGTTTGTTTAAAAATTTTTTAATAAGAACATTAATTCGCAATTTAGTTGTTGAAGAAATCAATAATTTTTATTCTTATTATACGAATTTTGAGAATATGAATTATAATTTATTCAATAACATAAAAAAAAGAAAAGAATACAATAATTTATCTTTCACAGAAAAAGATGAACACTTGTGCACAAGTACACATTATAAAAAAAAAAAAAATTTTGTAAAAAAAAAAAATTACGATATTGTTTTAAATTCTAGGAATGGAAATAATTATAATAATTATAGTTCATCAAATTTAAATGATTTTTTAAAAAGTGATTTTAGTAAAAATCAAAAAACGGGAAATGATCATATTTATAATACTCTAATGGAAAAAATCGAAAATGTAAATAATTACTATGTTTTAAATTTAATGAATGAAAAATTAAAAAATAACTATAATTATTTCAATAAAAATATAAAAACGCAAATAATAGGTTATAAAGAAAAAATAATACAAAGTCAAAAAAAAAGAGCTTGTGGATTTACGGAACATTTATGCACAGGTGTATCTATTGAAACCGATTTCTTAGTAGATATGGCAATTATTATAGAAAAACATAAAAGAAATATAAATGTTAAAATAAACTTATCTTTTTATTCGTATGTTTTATATATATCTTCTCTTATGTTACAAAAACTTACACAAATAGCAGACAAAACTATTCAATTAATTTATAAGTATGATGTTTTTAATTTTTATTTTAATTATATAAATTACAATAATTATGCAAACTTTAGTGATTGTAATTCAAATGTATTTAATCATAATAGTAGAAATAAATTTCATGATTCTAAGATGAATGATATGAATAAAGAATACCATATACCAAATACTGATTTGAGTGAACATAAAAATATCACTAGTGTAAAGAAAAAGAATTCTTTTAGTTATAGAATTAAGGGAAATAGTTTTCCCATAAATAATAAAAAATTTTCCAATATAAAAAAAAAAAAATTATATATTTCAAAAAAAAATAATTCATTAGCATATATAAATCAAAAAATAAATAAAAATATAAGTTTTCATATATCAAATATAAAGATAACTTTTTTGCAATCATTTACTAATACTTTTATTAATAGATTAGAAATATCTCTTCTTAATATTTTATTTAAAAATCATAGTTATCTGTTAAAAGTAGGTAGTGTAAATTTTTTAAACTATACTAATAAATATATATTTTTTAGTAAATGTGAAGAATTTGTTAGTAAAAAACAAGAAAAAATAACAAAATTAAAGAAAGAAAAATCTACTAACAGTAAAGTAAGTAATATTGTGAAAAATAAAAAGAATAATATAACATATTCGGAAGTAAAAAATAATAATACAAACATAAACATAATCAACAGAAATAATGATAATAAAAGCAAATATTTTATTTATGCGAAATATTCATATGAATCTAAATTGTATACTATCATAAATAACATAGCTAATAAAACTAATGATAATATTGATAGTATACATGAATTAATTGTTCAAGTAAATCAATCATATATTTATTTATTTTTTGTTGATTTATTGTTATTAAATCAATTTATCAACGATTGTATAATTGCTATTCTACCTTTGAAAAAAAAAATATCCAATAAAACTTTCTATCATAATTATAGAGAAACCCTTTTTGAAAAATATAAAGATGATATATATTTTTTGAAATCAAAATATATTCGTGAAAGTTATTCAAAATTTCAAAAAAAAATATTAAAAATGTTTATGTTATCTTACGAAAAAAAGTATAAATATAAAAGCTTATGTGAAAAAAAAAAAAATAGAAAATATAATTATATAAGATGTAAAAATTTTTTTGATAAAAATAATTTTATTTTTCAAAAGATTATTTTATTTAATGCAATGAGAACAAATGATATCAATAAGAAAAGAAAATTAAATACTATAAAAAAAAAAGGAAAAAATAAAATTCCTATTATTTATCTTATAGACATAAATATAAAATTACCATTAATCAATTTTTTATCTTCAAATATAAAAAATAAAAAAACTTTCTTTATAAATTTAGGCACTATTAATGTATATAGTGAAATAAGTTACATAGATAAACATAAACAGAATTTAAAAGGAATTAATCATATGTGTTTTAATAATTTTAATATATTTTCTGCCTTATCCTTATCTAGTATTAATAATTCCATTTATGAAAATGATAAGCAGAAAAAAGATATAAAGGGAAAAAATGAGATACAAAAAATATTTGGTGTTTTTTATTATCTAAATATAATTTACAAAAAAGGAAGATTATTTTTAAAATATAAATTAAATAAAAAAACTAAAAATATTATAATTCCATTATCTAATGAATTTTTCATTTCATTTTATTTATTTAAAAAATTATCAAATTATCAAAAAGTAAAACATCCTACAAATCCATCTCATTTCAATATAACATATGAGAATCCAGACTCATTATATGAAGAAAATAATGAAACAAAATATTTTCCTTCTAATATTATTATAAATTCTAATAGTAAGTATTCAAATTCTAGAATAACTAGATTAAAAAATGATGACAACAATAATTTAGGTGATGTATATGAAGAAATTAAAAATATCTTCCACAAAAAATATTCAATAAATATATTGATAGAAATAGAAAATTTAAATATAATATTCACTTCAGAAATATTAAATATAATAAAAGATAATATTAGTTCAGTAAATAATAGCATACTTAATAATAATAATTTATTACCATATGAAAGTATAAATGAAGAAATTGCATTTAGAAATAACAGAAAGCCAAAGAAAAAAAAAAGAAAATATGATTATAAGTTTTCATTAAATACTACAAGTAACAAAGAATGTAAAAGTAACTATCAGATAAGAAATAATAAAAAATATTTTTCTCGTAATAATTTAAAATGTTTCACATATTTTTATGATTATTCATGTTCTAAAAGCAAGAAAAATTTTAATCATAAAACACAAATTTTAAAAAAAAAAAAATTGTATTACAATAAATTACTTTCATTAATTAATAATAATTTATTTCTTTATCTTAAATTAAATTCTATACATTTACAGTTAATTGATAATAATGCAAATAAATTAGTAGAATTAGTTTTGTTAAGTTTAAATGTTTGGAAAATTAATAAGTTAAATATATTTTGTTTTTGTTTAAACGAATTTACAATAAATGAATATATAACTAAAAATATTTTTACAAAAAATTATAAAAAAGAAATAGATAATAATAAAAAAAGTGAAGAAGATAAACAATGCAAATATAAATATACTAATTCAGATATGTTTCATCAAAAAAAGGTAATAGATCAATGTTATGCAAAACTTTTTGATGAAAGTAAAATTTTAAATAAGTTAAAGAAAAAAGAAAATTATAGAAACATAACACTACTGATGAAATTAAAAAAAAAATTAAAAAAGATAATACATTCTAATACTTACATAGATTCATATAATCAAAAAAAAAACCATAAAGAATATTTACATGCTAATGAAAGAAAGGATTATTTAAAAAAAGAAAGTATATATTATAACTCTATAAATAGTATAAATAAAAAAAAACAGAATGCTACACCATCATTATGCATTTTACAAAAAAATAAAATACACAATTCAATGAATTACATTTTTAAATTGAAGTGTAAAAATAAAAATCATAATGCATTCTCTATTTTTTCTGCTAATGAATTGTTTTATAATAAGCTTAATAATATGTGGAAAAATATACAAACAAATGTAAAATGTAAATATATAAATGAAGAAAAAAATGTAGATATAATCGAAGATGAGATTCAAATAAACTACATTGAAAAGAATGAAATTCTTGAAATTAAAAATAAAAAAGAAAATATTAATCTTTTTATGAATATTAACAGTATAAATAATAATTATCCTATAAAAAACAATTTTTTATATAGTATTAATGATAACAATAGTTTTTCAAAAAATAAGGAAACGGAATTTTGCAACTATATTTTGAAAATAAAAAACAGCTATAAACTATTTTTATTTACAAAAATAAATAATTTATTAAAAAGAAAAAAAAATAATAAAAAAAAAATTTATTTTCATAATCATTTAAAAAAAGTGGAGTACTTAATACACAAAAATAATAAACAAAAAAAAAGACACTCATGCATCCTCCTAGAACACATATTTTATGTAAAAAAAAAAAAAAAAGAAAGAAATAATGAAAAAGAAAAAATCATTCAAAATAATAATGAAAAAAGTATAATTAATAACTTAAAAAAGGAAAATCATATTTGTAATATTATCAGAAATAATAATATAATAAAAAATAATCAAAAATTGAGTAATTATTTGAACATTCATAGAAATAATCTAAGTAATTACAAAAATTTAATTAAAACTAGAGAGTTATTAAAGAAAGATAAACAGCATATACAAAAAAAAAAAAAAAAAAAAAAAAAAAGAAAATAAATATTAAAAAAAA